AAAATAACCAGGAAAATTCTCCATAACTGAAATGATCCCTAAATAGCAGCATGCTATTATTATCTAGAGAAATTCTTTTTATATAAAACCTCTGGAATGCAGACATGGCCATTACTGATTTTTCTCCCAAAACAATTTCTAAAAAACATAGGTTTCAGGGTTTTCTGAGTTTTGGTTTGTTTGGTTGGTTTTTTTTATGAACAGATTTTCTCCCATGGGTTTTTATGATTGAAAAAGCTGTTTATTGGTATGTTTTGTTTTGTTTGTTTGTTTGTTGATTTTTATAGCAAAAGTCTTAGAAGCTCTCTTATTAGAATTAAAGATGCTATAGTAATCAGCAACCACTTCCATCCACAAAGTCTTGTCAGTTACTCGTACTGCTTCCCACTTGCATGAGATTTAAACTTACGCTGCAGAAATGGAAATCTCTCTAGATGATTACTTAGTCTCTTTTCCTCTATCTGGATATTTTTAATACTTCAGAAATGGCTGTATGGATTTTTTGTTTTATTAGTGTAATTTTGACTTTGCTTAGCCAACATCTTTTTGTTGAAGCCCATCATGCTTTTTAGATTCCTTTCCATCTCATCTGCATGTGTAGTTCAGAACCTCCTTTATCCAATTTCAAATTATGCATCAGCAGCATGAACAAACGCTTTTGAACCACTTGCTTTTGTAGAAAAAAGGTTGATAAAGATTCTTCTTGAGTTGATATTGATAATTCTTGTTTCATTGTTAAGAGATTTGAATAATGAAATCGCCTTTTTATAATTATGAATTGTTTACTTATCTGAAATTTATTTAAAAACATTTTACTTTTTTCTGAGGAAATGACATTTTAATGAATGAAGTCTTACTAAGAAGAATATATTTATGTTACAACTGTAAGATAAAAATGATAAAATAGAAAAATATTTGTTATGTTGACATCCATGAATATTAATGCATTTTTAATTTAGTAGAAAATAAGTATTGGGCCTCTCATAACCATAAAAAAATTTTACAATATGTTAGGAAATGATTTTTTACTCGAAATACATTGGTTTGTAAAAATTCTAATGTAGAAATAGTAGAATTTTCCACGATAATGTTAAAAGCAGAAATATTCAGTAAATGTTTCTATTCTGTATTTAGGGGAAAATGTTATCGTAACCTGAAATACTTCATTCCAACACTCACTCAGTAGTTTCTAATTAGAAAACATAAAAATAAAATATTTTTAGAATAAATAGAAGGATTTCTTCTTTTATAGTGCCTTAAATGAATTGTTTAAATTCCCAAGTGAGTTTGAAGAACATCCTGAAAAATTGCAAAAGAGACATGTGACAGAGGAATAGATCAGAAAACATCTAAACTTACCAATATGACAACTAAGGAGTGATTTTTGCCTACGCTCAATAGATCAATGTACAGGCCAAAAATCTTGTAACTGAAAGCACTTTGATTTAACACATGATAAAAATAGAAAAAACAGGAAGTTCAAGGATGTTCAAGCCGAGCAGGACCAAATGCTAATTTTCCTCAGTCACCTTCAGGCAGCATAAAGTTAGCTTCTCAATACCAGCCACCGCATCTGAGCTTGAGCACCTTGGGAAGCCCCCAGACCAAAGAGAAACTGCCTACTTCACTAAGCATGTGATGTGTCAAACAGTAATCTTTCTGCTACTATTGCAGTGTGTTTTGAAAGCTTAGTGCAGAGTTTGAATGTATTTTCTTCTGCTGCTACCTCCTTTTCTTATGTTCACTCCTATATTGGCTATATTTTATATTTTAGTCATCTATATGATATATGCTATTATCTTTTATGTGCATTATTTGTATATGGTAATTGTACTCCTTTCTCATATATTCTTTTGATCTGTCCTTCACCCATCCCAACGTGGGATGTCAGCCTGGTGTTCTTCTGTTGATGCTACTGGAATTTGTATGTTCTTGCAGTATTTTCACACTCTCAAACGTTTTGGAACCGATTAGTTGTATCAAACTGCACTTTAGATTGTTAGTCTGCACTTCAGCCATAGAAGCTCCAATTTTATTTTATTTTTTTATCTCTCCCTGATAGGCCTATGCTGTTACCTAGGATGTTCTAATATACTAGATACGGATCAAGTAATGTGGGTACCACTGCTAGGAATGCTTTGATGTTTGTTCTCCCCACACTCCCCCCTTACACTACATAGCTTTTTCATCTTCTGAAATGTGAATATCAGTTGGATGATATTCATGACTACTTTGTGATACAGCAGAAATCTGGGACCGACTGTTCTAAAAATGTTTTGAAAATGTAAGCACATAACTTTGTCCACTGGCAGAGTGTCTGTTTTAAGTAAACACAAATTTCCATGCTGTATTTAGTTTTTCTCCATTGTGGACTGCATTGTGTAGTAGGACCAGAAGAATTTCTCCTTCATAGTCAAATGCAGGTATTTGTATTTTAGAATCAGGAACATACTCTGCAAGTTACAGGGTTTGGCAGCTTTAATTCTGACTGAATCACTTTTCTGTGTGAATTGGTTCAATGGGTTAAATGCCATAGGAACATTTGTGTCCAGATCCTGGCTACCCTTATTGGAAACTAAGTTGAGATCTGACTTTTTTTTTTTTTCCTCTCTTTTTTCTGGTGACAAATAGTACACCAGATAGCAGCACAGACATTTAATCTACTTGTCATCTTGACAGGTGGGGGGAGAAGAACCTCGGTTGTGTATTTTCTGTGGATTTGGTGTCATATGGGGTCTGTGATATCATGTCAAAACCAGCACTCTCTTTAAAAGGCAGTTTAAAACGGTGGGACTGTGCTGTAAAATATCTTATAGACTTCTTTTTCCTTCAAAAAGAAACCTTTGAGGAGTAAGCAATGGTTAATATACGTTTCATACAGGGAATGTACCAGCTAATAAAACTGCAAGTTAAATGATGCTGATATTTAAACTTCCAAACTTTTCTTACCTTTGCACTATTACACAGATGCAGCAAACAGCCTGTCAGAACAGTAACCCAGAAGAGCTTGTCATTTTCTAAGCGTTGCTGCTTAGAGGAGCAGACACAGTGCGTGAAGGCAGTTTGTTTGCATGTGTTAAAGAAATCCTTGCTGGGGTTAAGAAGCAGATTAGCCCCTCAGTGATCTGGTGCAAGCCAGGACTGTGCTGCCGGCTGACGCGTCGGGCTGCCCTGCGTTGGACAACTGTCACGCTGCCACCACTCAGTTCCTCTGATTGGGTACTCGCAGCGACTGATTAAAAATGCTGATGCCGTTTCTGTGATCCTTTCCACTTGGAGGAGAAAGCTCTTAATGCCCACCCCCAAGCCCATCTCTAGGATGTAAGTAATGGTGAAAAGATGAAGATAAAAGCAGTGCGGTGTGAATGACTGGAAATCCAGCAGTCTGGTTTAGCTGCAGTGTTGTGTAGGAGTCGTCTTCAGACTTCTTACCTTTGGTTTTTCAGCACAAACTGCTTGCAGGTTTTTGAAGGCTGTGAAAGGACCTACCGTCTGTGTGTTAGTGTTTTCTGTGTATCATCGTATCACCTTGCTTTTTCCCTGGACAGCTGTGTTCAGAGCTTCATGTGGAAATCTTTCTATTGAAGAGAGATAAAAAGGATCCTTAATCTGATTCTCTTTGGATCTTTCTATTTTTATGGTAAGTGCCAGCATATATTGGCTGAGCATAGCTTCTTTGCTGCAGTGCTCGTGCTCTCTCCCTCTCTCTCTCTCCCTCCCCCCTTCCCATCTGTTTTTCTCCCCCTATATTCTTAGATAAGCCTCGTGACCTTCACTTAATATCTCATCATAATTTTCAGCGTCTTCATAACAGATGCTGGCTAAGTAAAATACAAGTTTTCTCTTTATTTTGCTCCTTCCCTTCTCTGACCCGGAGCTCTGAAGTATTGATTGCCAGCTGAGTACTGCCTCTTTGTCCTTGAAACGGGAGGCTTGAGCATTGCTCCTGATTGCCTGTGGCAGCAATGGGATACAGTTATGGGGAACTGCAACAGAGATTGGGTAAAGGTGACTGACTCATTTTGCTAGGTCTTTATCACCACGCTGGAAGGGCACAGAAATCCCTTGCTTCTGTGGCCATCTAGAAAACTCTGAAGCCCCTCAATGTTTAAGTGTGGGCATGTGGTTTGAACCGATATTTACTATCATTGGCATGGAACAGATTGGCTATTTCAGCATTTTCAGTATAAGCCTAGGTCATCAGGTGTTTGTAAGCTGGACCTTTTGCATCTTACAAGTGCGTACTGCCTGGGACAAGAAGTTGCAGAATAGACAACCTCATAACCCTCATCCCTCTCTGGTCGATATGGTTGCAAATTCTTAGCTTTTTGAAGGGCTTTATTATCTCTGCAGTAGGAAAGAAGTACATTTAGATGCCTGAAAATCTGTGCTGGCTTAATTTGTGCTCTAAGCTATTTTAACAGCTCTAATTTTGTAAATAGGAAAGGTTGTTATTTAGACCACAGTAAACTGTGCCCTTAACTGTTTTGTTTTTTTTTTTCCTGGTTTGTTGTGAGATTTAAAGTAAATACAAATATACAATTTCTGATAGATAGATATCTTCCTTTGTTTTTGGTATAAGACAAATACAAAAGTATTTCTTTTAACTTAAATGTGTTTCATGCTGTGAATCCATTATGTGGATTGACTATGCATAGCCCTCATACACTGCAGGAATAATAAAGACTCTGCTGCCTCTTCAAAGGTCTGCTGAAGGCATAGATATAACGCTGGCTCAAACTTGTCACAGGGTGGTCTGACTTCAAGGAGGGCAAAGAGGCAATGTGCTTTTATACCTTTGTTTTACTGGGGTAGGATAAGAATAAAGGTTTTATTCAGTGTCTGCATTACCTTTTCTGGGTTTAAGCAAGAGATAAGCTGGTGTCTGGTTATTGTTTTCTTTGTCTAATGTAGCTTACATTGTGAGTTAATAAAACAATTTTGTGCCTTATTTGTCCTGTAATTCAGAGTTTTGCTCACTAGCTGATTAGTTCAATAGAGTTTGTGTACCACCTTTCCCCTCTTAAATGAGTAAAAACTTTAAAACTCTGCTGTTATTTTCTATAACCTTCATTTCTTTTCTGTACTTGGGTGTAATGTCTGGTTGTATTGATAAGCATGTATGAGTGTGGTGGAGAAGGGAGCAACCCAGGTTTGGCAATTGCAAGAGGCACTGGTGGGAGGAGGAGGCTTACACAGATCTGCAGGTAGGGGACTTCATGGTGCAGTGAGGTACCTGCTGCATCAGCTTCACAAAAAGCCATAGTGGTCAGCATGTAGCCCAGATTTCAGCGGTCCAAGTCACCTCCTCAGTAAGATCATGCATTTTGACATCATGTAGTACCCATTGGTGCAGCTGATCCTGAGCCTTGTTTCCCTTCTAACTGATGTGGTGAGGGCACGCTGCAGACCTGCCTCCCTCCTGCTCCAGTATGGAGCAGGTCTGTTCTGGCAACTGTGCAGCTCAAGGAACTGTTTAAAACATTTACTTCTAGAGCAGTCCTCCACACTGCCTGCTACAGAAGGGCTTTAGCACTGTGTCGGGTCTATGTTTAATTTAACTTTTTTAAATCAGTCACAAAGCTGCCTGAGTTATTCCCTTCCAGCTTCAGTGAGTGCTGACACAATGACAGCAGCAAAGAAACTTTTTGCTGTGGAAGGAGACCAACGGGGTTTTTGGTGACACACATGGGGAAGCAGTCCTGAGTCCTTGAAGGTTGTGACATTGCCTTGGAGAAGCTGGACTTAAGCTTCTCTTGATTAAATGTAACAAATGATTGTGTGTATGCATTGCACTTGGAACTATTTATTTTGTTCCATATAAAATTATTGTAAATTTAAAAAACAAGAGGGTTTTCAAAATACATGCAAAACCTAAATAATTCTGAAGATCAGAGTTAAATATCGGACAACATTTTTTTAAAATGTTATTGTAAAATCAGTTGTGCCTTAAAGTAATCTACATTCTTAAATCACATTTAATCAGAAGTACTGTTTTCACTCAAAAATTACTAGTGTTTAAGTAAGATTATCTAGCAAAGGCTAATTTTTAACCTAAGTGCATAATCATGTCTGTCTTTTTCAGTAAAATTTTAGAAGCCAAAGTGCATAATGTAATGTGCTTTCTCAACAACATTGAGGCAAAAGGAAGGGAGAAAAAAGATCCCAAAGTATTTTCTCCAGTTTAAGCCATGTGAGCTTGCAGTGGGATGTTTACATTTGGAACCTGACATCTGCGTACTGCAACTGAGAAGTCTATGCATCTAAAATATTTACCAGCACATCCTGTTGCAGGCTAAGGGTTTGAAAAATAAAGATACAATCCTCTGTAAAAGCCTTGGAAGATAGAGTGAAATTCCCCAAATTACATGAAATTCAAGCAGGTAGATATGCTGTTTATTTCTTGGGAATTCTATGAATGTTCTGATAGGAAATGCATGCATAGTGCTTCCCTGTTTCACAGCATGGTGTCATGTTAATTCCTTTGCAGGGTGGCTGAAGACTGCATAGGAAACAACTGCAGGGAAAAAAAAAAAAAAAAGCTCTATTCCTTAGCCAACCAATATTACCCAATGGTCTGATGAAGTCACTGCTTTTTTTTTTTTTTTTTACTGTGTATGTTCAGTATGCATTCTTCACTCCACTTGTCCGTGGAAGCAAGTCCTTTGAAGTTTTATGCTCCACAAATATTCAATCATATATACTAGATTGTCAATATAAATGGGTATGTTTTTACAGAAAGCTTGCTCATTTATCCATACTGCTTCAGTAATTTTATGCTTTCCATCTGCTCATATCCTTTCTGACAAAAGCTGTACAGGCTGAAGAATGCAGGCAGTAGATTAGCCATGCTCCAACTTCCCTCTCTGCCCCAGACTGGAGAGTAATACTGGATTATACATGACAGAGAGCTGAAGTCATCAGTACTAGGCAGTGCTCTGGTTAGTGAATTTTTCAAAGCTTTTTCTGAAAACAGTTTACAAATGTTTTCAAAGGTAATGTGCTACACCGCATTTTAACAAAGTACATGTGATTATTAGTTATAGTATGCATATTCTATTTATATATTGCATGTTATATCAACTGTGGTTTTACTTGGCTGTTTCTTCCTACATATTGACCCATGAATGAGCACATACGGATAATCCAAAGGTGACTGCAACTCCTGGACTTTCTCTGTTACTCATAGAGCTAATTTTTAAGGTGTTCCTGAACACAGAATCTCACTTTGTCTGCAGATTTTGTCCAGGATGATTTCAAGGACTTTAATAATGCAGCTTCTACCAATCTGTCTCCATATGTCTTGAGACTTTAACAGGTGAGCTCTTTTCAGTCCAGTTGCTACTTTTGCAGTTCGTGGATGTCTGAAAATCCAGTGTGTCAACACTGTGCCACATAGTCTGTCACAAACTTAGTGCTTTTGGAAAGTATTAGTCAGGGTGTTTGTGTGCTACGTTCTTTCTCTGTATCTGTGGGGAAGGATTAGCTTTCAGGCATTGTTATATGGGTCTTGTGTCTCCTGTGTCTGCTGTGCATATGCTGCCCTCTCAGTAAGTGCTTGCACTTTACGCCTGTCATATCTCAGGAAGGGATTGCATTTTCTGCATTTATACAACTGCATAGCGCTTGTGTAGACCTGTCTGATTCTTCATGGAAACTGGCATTTTAATTCATGTCGTGCAGATCTGCTCTTATATAATTTCTGCATAGGAAATACTGAACAATAAAGCGAGAGGTCTTCTGTGTATTAAAGAACTTTCTCCTGCAACAGTCACAAATATATTGTTCCAGACTCAATGTCATCATAGTGGAGCAGCATTAGGCCTGCTTGCCTTGAGAAATATTGAAGGCTTGAAGCATTCCTGAGGGACCAGTCTAACTTTAGCACCTGAACATAAAATGCAATGAAACATTTCAAAGGCAAAATGTTTACTTTCTTGTGATTGTAGAAACATTTTTAGCCTTTTCTGGTGGAAGTTGTGGAGAAAGCAAAATTCTATCCTAAACTGACCTAACCAATGTTAAGTGTTCACATTCTGCTAATGTGACATTATTAGAATCAAGAACTTTACATTGTTCTGTTTGCAGTATAAAGGGAAATAATAATCTGGTTAAGAGTTATTGGTTATTTCCTCTGTATTCCACTGGAAGTGATCTTGGCATTGGAGCAGGTAATTTCAGCAGCAAGTTTTTCAATCTTTATGAATAACAACACCAAACAGGATGAGTATCACTGAAGCTGCAATTAGATCCCCCAATAGGGAAGCTAATGGTGTACAGCTTTCTTCATGTGAATAGATTTTACTCTAGGAGAAGAGAAATATGAGAAAATGTTTTCAGAAAAAGCCTCATTTTTCTAAGAGCTCTATGTTGATGCTAATAATTCTGCAAGACCAATCTCTCAAAATAGTTTCCCTTTACCCCCTCAGGAGGACATACAGCAAGCACACCTCCAAGTGGGCCTCCAAACCCAGCTCTGAGGGAAGACTAGTTCCCACTAGATGATGAAATTGGAACATGAGTTTAGAGATTTCCAGACTTGACACTTGCAATCTGAATGTCCAAAGACTGGCTTGCTGTCCAAAACTTTTGCACAACTCGATCCCTGAAGAAGTCCATACTAACCATAAATAATTTTTT